CAATAACAGCGAGTGCAAAAGCAACTTAAAAAACAACAAACACAATAACGATATACATAATAATAAACATAATAACAATAAATACAATAATAATAATAAATATAATAACAATAAATAATTCAGCCCGCGCACCAATAAAACTGAATCCTTGTTCTGATCAGGGTCGTCGACGAATTGCTTCGCGATCGAGACCAGTCGAAATAATTTATCGGAAGGCGGCGGCGGCTGGGCTGAGCATCCGATTGCAGTGGCCAAATTCAGAGCCAACTGCTGATGACCATCGTAGAATAGTTGCCTTAAATGTTTATTATTATTATTATATATTATTATTATATAATAATATTTATTATTAAATATTATATTTATTATTATTAATTAATTAAACAAAGAAACTCACCCTATAATAAGCCTGTACATATAATCACGGTCTTTCACATCGGGTTTCATTCTTCTGTTGCACCAATCAAATTATATCCTCCAATTAATAATAACTAACAATAATGATAACAATTAACCACTACAATCAATAACAACGATACACAAAACCAACAAAACAAAACAAAACACCCGCCATTTACCTAAACGAATTTAAATACAAAAAGTGTGAAGACACTTTGCCAAAACTTGGCATCGGCATTTCGCCAAAAATTGGCAATTCTGTCCAGCAAAATATCAAGCGATCGCCTTCTCACGATTCATACCACTCCAAATACCCCCAACCCAACTCATCAATTTATTCAGTCATATATACATCAAAAAACCTTATATACAGATATTACATCACTTCTATAACAAATAATAATATTACATGATAATATTATATATTAATAATATACACAACAACAATAATATATAACAAAAACAATAACAATACATAACAATAATACTAAATAAATATCACGGGGTCATATTCTCCTCATCGGAATTAATCGATGTAGCAGTAAAAGAACACATCCCCATACCCTCCGGATCAATATCCTCCGGCAACACGTCCGGCCCCGGCTCCTCGATTAAAAATATCTTAACTTTCAATAATATCAATAAAAACAATAACAATAATAAAATAAATAATAATATATAATAAAAATAACAAAAATATATAATAACAATATATAATAACTAATAATAAATGCTACCTCGTCTTTATCGATCAGATCGGGCGGTACCTCCTGCATCTGCACCGAGGGGGCGTGGCGTATTTGGCGAAGATGGTCTAGCACCTCTTGCTTTAGAGCTGTTATATACTGAAACCACCAATAACAATAAATAAAAATAATAGTAAATATAGTAATAATAAATAATACAATAATAATAAATAATAATAAACAATACAATAACAATAATAAATAATAATAATAACTCCAACTTCTTTCGTGTTCTGATTCTCTTGGCGCTTCGCCAAAACCGGCTTCAACGTAAATTCAGGTGCGAAAAACTGCAGATACTCTGCAAAAATACACACAAATAATAACAATAAACAATAAAAACAACAAAAATAACAAAAACAATAACAAAATAACAACAAAACCCAAAAATTACCCGTATTATTGGGTATCTCGTCTGGTATCTCATCCTTCTTGCCCACCAAAATGGCCGTCTCATACGTCCAACATCGAGCTACGTTCCTA